TGTTGGAGCAGTCAGAATTTTTTCAGCTTTTGTTCAACAGGTTTTTTTTTAGGTTTTCAGCTTCTTTTTACTTTAGCTGTAACAGAGTTCTGCTGTAACACTTTGTTCAAGAATGATTTCGATGCTGCTTTTTAACAGAGAAATGTTTCTTTTTTCAGCTCAAATTTAAAACATCTTGGCTTCCTGTAAGTTTTCACTTATATCAAACAGATTTATTGGTCTGAACCTTTAATATTTGAATACTTTCTCAGCTAAACTTTTACTAAATCCAGCTTTTTTGTGCTACTTTCATGTCGTTTGAACACATTTCAGCTTATTTTTGTTACTTTTAAACTGTCTTCCCTCATTTAAACAGCAATTCTTCTACACCCAACATATTTTTTTTCTCCCTATTTTGTCTTGTTCCTTCACACTTTCAGTTTCTTGCTTCAGCAGGCATCAACACAACATTTAACATGTATGGGTTCAGGTTGTGTTACACTACAGCTTCCAGCGAAGTGATTTATGCTGTCTTTTTGCAGGAAGTGCAGTCAAACTAATTGTTGGACTGTGTTTGAGCTTGTTTAATGTGCAGCAGCAGCAGGCCCACACGCTGTTGATGTCTCAGAAAGCAAAGGTCAGGAGGTGCAGATCTTAAAGACAAACTCCAATCAGCTGGCAATGACTTGAAGGACTTATGAACCACAGGTCAGGTTGAATTTAATATCAAAACATGTTAAATCTGTTCAAAGTAAACAGCTGGTAGAGCAATAAATTAATTTAGATTGTTGTGACAGCTGACTGTGGGTGAAAACACAAGTGTGAGAAATAAATTTTGAAGAATCTATAGACACACCTTTAATAAAGCTTGTTAATGATTGACAGCTCTACGTGCGCGCGCGCGCGCATTTACGGGTGGGCGGGGCTTACATTATTACTGCTTATCTCCGCCTTTAGCCTCCTCAGTAAAAGTGCCCTTAGAAGGAAGGGAAGCCTGTAGGACAGAAGAGGATTTTTATTTATTTATTTATTTTTTCGGGCTCAGGCTGGCTGTAAATCTTCAGAGACACAGAGTCATGGATCAGGCTCACTTTTCTGCTCGGTGACGACAAAAAGTTTTTTTTTATTTCTTTATTTGAATTCCATGTAAGGATGATAGTTGGAGCTCAGGAACCTGTCGGTCTCTGTGGTGAGTGGATCCAGGCGGAGCTTTGAACACAGATTTATAAAAGTTTTCTCTTCTTGTAGCGCTCGTTTGTTTCTCCCGCTGCGCAGCTTCATCCCAGGTTATTCCATAATCTAATCTGTTCTACAGGATAGTAATCTCCCTCCTGTCTGGGTCGGGGTGTCCTGTGCGGAGCGTGTTTGGGTGCTCCCTGTCCCCCACCCCACCACCACCACCACCCCAGCCGGCTGACAGACATGGAGATGCTGCGCCGCTCCTCCGTGTTCGCCGCCGAGGTGTTCGACCGCTCTCCCTCCGACAAGGAGCTGGTGTCCCAGGCCAAGGCGCTCTGCAGGGAGTACATCAACAACAGGCTGAACCGAGCCGGGCTCGGAGCGCCTAAACTCGAGTACGGAGCACCGGCTTCATCAGGTGGGACCATGGCGGAGGTGTCATCGGTCCTCCTGTGGCTCGGTAAGTTGCTCCAAAACCTAAACCCTTAGTTTTAATGGTTTTTTACAGCAGCTTGTGGTTATGTATTGACTTTACCCCTTACCAGAAATAAGTATGTTGTTAAATATACTGTGGTGGGCACAAGTCCCACTAAAGCACTAAGAGGGGAACTCATTTTCTGGTTAGTGCTTTAGCTGTTTGTTTCATTCATCAGTAGATTAGGGGAGACTGGGGACATTTGCAACACTTTTTGCATTTGACTCTGTTACTCAGAGATGGGTTGGATTAGATAAAACATGTTATTTTACAATGAATTTAAATCTGGCTGTTAATAGTCAAACTATTTATATATGATTTTAAAAAAATTCACATTCCTCACAATTTTCATTTGAAAGTGAAAAGTCAGATGTTGCAACAAACCCAGGGCCGGGGACAGTTGCAACATTGTTTGGGGGTGGTTGCAGCAGTGCTTATATTTATGTTATATACTG